AATAGAAGAATAATGGCGTAAATAAGTCCCCGACTATTGATGTATGAGATTGAGCCTAATATTGAGATAATAGATTTGAAACAAACAAATTCAATGTATAATATAATACATATTTGAATAAAGAATTAACAACAATATAAATACCAGGGCTAACAATAGCTGTTTCCACAAACCAGGGTAGGGCCAGACCAACCAGAATGTCAAAAACATTGCTCCCAATAGAATTGCTTACCGCCATATCTGCATGACCCTGGTCACATAAATAAAAAGCTTTTAAAATGCAAAATTTTAATAACTTAACAATAACTAACCGCTCTGGCCACATGTAAGCTGGCATAGGCGTCGGGAACCTAATAACATAACATATTTATAAATGTTTATTAAAACAAGTTTTTGAAATGATTACCGAAGTTCCGGCCGCAAGAAAAGTGATTCCCATTATACTGTCGGGTATTCCGAGTGTGAATCCAATTAAACTGACCTATAGTTCAGGAAACGTATATGTTTTGAATATTATAAATAATTTAATAATAANAGAATAAGATGGCATGGAGGGGCGCTCGGGCCCCCCATTTGCAGCACTCATACCACCCTTCAACGTCTGCATTTAGATAATTGATTGAAATAAATATCATAAAAGATGAACGTTTATTTGTGTGGGAATGGCTCACTTGGGTTGGGAACCCTCCTCCAGAAATGTTGGTCCGGAACTAGGGATGGCTTTCGTACGGAATCAAAAGATTTGGCAAAATTGAGTTCTTCTTGTTGTTGTGGTTGTAATTGGAGTTGTCTTTGATATTGGGCTTCAAATTGATCACAAACGTTAAAAATATAAATTTAAAATAAATTTTAATATATTTTATCAATACCCTTTTCTCTCTGAATGATTATCAAATTAGCTGCCGATCGGAATCTGTGCAAAATAATTAATTATATAAATAAAATGCATTTTTACAAATTGTATCAATTAAATTTATTGCAAACCTAGTGATGGGTCTGAACAGTCTCTTGTGTCTAATGATGACAATGTTTGCCGCTTCATATAAACTGGTTTGTGGTCTATTATATCCATCCATTCGCTGACCAAATCCGGTTTCATTTCCTCCAACTGTCACCAAAATTATATTATTCTTTGTTATTTGATAAACTTTTACAAAATAATATTACTCTATATTTATTTCATTGTGTTTTCTAACTTAAAAGTTCTGTATTATTTCATTACTATCTAAATATTTTAATTGAAAAATATTTAATTTAATATGGACTGCATGTACTGTACAATGCACATTATTTATTTAATAAACAAGATTAAACTGATTTAAATAATTTTTATTTAACTCATTCCAAATCACTTTCAAGTTACTAATGACATGTAAAATAATGAATTAGTGTTGTTTAAAAACATTTGTTATTATGATAAATGTTAAAATTATAATATTACTAAAATGCAAATATCATAAATAGGAAACTGCTTTTAGAATTAATGAGATTTTTAGCGCAGAATTCTCTAAAGAATTAAAAAATAAATTTCATATTTTTGTGCATTTCTATATATTTTTGGTTAATATTAAGAAAATTAAAAAAATACAAAAGTTACTTATATACGAAAGTTATAAAGTAAACATAAAGTAAATTACTTATATC